TACAAAGCAGAACACAGCTAAATGTATCAAAAGTATGTCTATGTAATATTAGAATTTTCTGAGACAATGAATTTTGGTTTTTCATTTTTTTCCTAGTAAGAGGTTTTTGTTTAATAGAATTTTTGGACAAAAAAAATCGCAATATATCTCCTTGTTTACAGTATCGCAATATAACGGGATATATCGTATCGTGACCCCTCTGTCATGATATGAATCGTATCGCCAAATTCTTGCCAATACACAGCCCTAATTTTTAACATTAGTGGTTTTCTATTGACTTCAGTCTTTGAACACGAATATTTCTTACAGATTAATTAATAACCTTTCTATAAACTATTTAAAAGCCATCTGTAAGGGGGGCCTTATTGTAAAGTGGTATCTTTTAAAAAACATTACATTACAAGTGTTTGAAGTATAAAATGTATACAATGGGAATTTGTGTGAAAGGATGTTGAACAAAGACTTGGCCCCTCTGTGAATATTGTGGCCACTTGATGGCCCCTTACTCAGAAAAATCCTAGATCCGCCACTGTTACAGACTAACCTAACTCCTACATCCATGGAACCTAAAAGTCCTGTAAATTTTTAAAGTGGTAGCCTACACGAGGCAGATCAACATCAGGAACCAGACCCACGGACTGTGGAAACAAAGCAGCCTGCGGGCAGCAGGAGGAGGGACCGCGGCTCTCCTCTCTCCACCCATCCAGCTCACGGGGAACAGAGAGGGACCTACGTCGGCGGAGTCAAAGCCAATCGAGGTGAGCGCGGAGTCGCGAAGGGGAACAAGCGCGAACGGCACAAACGGAGCCTGATAAAAGGGGGGCGCGTGCCTCCGCCGCGCGGCTTTAGAGGAGCGGACGGACGGAGGAGGACAGCGGCACCAGGATCCTCCGAGAGCGGACGGTAGGAGGACCTTCATGTCCTTCATGATGATTATTTTTAGTTTTTTTTGATCGACTTTATCCTGTTTACACCGTCTTTGTTTCCAGGACTCCAACCCGCAAGACATTTTAGAAGTTTTGAAGCAATAAGAGTTTGAATAATAAGCGGATTTTGTGTTCACTCGGGATAATGTTTCCCGGTGTTCAGATATTTGAGTGGTTCTGGAGCTATTTCAGGAGAAACCTGAGCTGCAGGAAGGAATGTTTTCTCTCAAAGCTTTTAATTCAGTTTATCACACAGGTTTCTTTTTGTTCACTGAGCTCCTTATCTATGCACTTTTTGATAGCTCTGTTTCAGAAAAAAAAAATATATACTGTATGTACAGTATAT